AGGCTGGAGTGCAGTGGTGCGATCTCGGCTCACTGCAAGCTCCGCCTCCCGGGTTCACGCCATTCTCCTGCCTCAGCCTCCTGAGCAGCTTGGACTACAGGCGCCCGCCACCACACCCGGCTAATTTTTTGTATTTTTAGTAGAAACAGGGTTTCACCGTGTTAGCCAGGATGGTTTTTTTTCATTTTCACACTTACTTTTTGGGGCTAGGTAGGATCTGAACAGCATTAGTCCACTCCTGGGCTGCTATTGGCCCTGAGGCTTGGTAGGTGCCTGCCGCAAGTTGTAAGAATTATGCCTTTCTTTTTTTTTTTTTTTTATTATCTTCCAGGGGCCAGTCCCCGCCCCCCTCTTTTTCCAGATAGAGCCGGGCTGGGGAGAGGGACTTAACCCTTGGTGTGCCTAGCTGCTTGGCGCCTCGCTTGTTGCTTTTGCTCTTTCCCGGTTTGTTCCCTGGTCACGGTTAATGTACATCTTGGTGGTCACTTTTATAAGCTGGGTGGCATTCATGCCTGCAGTTTCCGCTTGATGTCACCCCAGGCTTGCCCTACAAAGACTATGCTTACTGTAAAGGTAAACTGAGGCTGGAGCCAAACCGGGAACGAAGACACAAGGCAAATGGCAGTGAGAATAGCCTTTATTAGGACTCGCGGGTGAGGTTCCTCAGTCCAAAGCTGCGGGCCGAGGAAGTCGCGCTGAGGGAGAAGGGTAGGGGCTTCTTATAGCCCGAGAGGTAGGGAAGCTGGTTGTACAAACAGGGCCTGGGGGGTCTTGAAACTACTAGGGCAGGAGTCGAGTAAGGGTCATGAGGAAGGGGTCTTTGGAAACTGTCAACTGGAACTGCTTTTTAGGAACTTGTGGAATGCAGGTGAGCTGCAGGTCATGGGGGAGTATAGTTGCCCAGCCAGAACCTCTGATGTATGCAAGTCTGTGGGTATGTTCAAAGAGGAAGGGAAGTCTCAAACAAAGGGCCTGCTACGTCGGGTGGCGCTGCCATGTCGGGTCTAGATCCCTGCCTAACGCTTACCATGCGCTGATTTTCAGCAGCCTCAGGGTCAAATGGGGTGTAAAGCCGGAATGCTTCACGAAGTTTTTTATAAAACTGACTTGGGTTGTCATCAGCTCTCTGAAGCACTTTTGAAATTTTTCTTCTATTAATTGCTTTCTTTCCACCAGCTTTCACGCCTTGCAGAAGTGCCTCTCAGTACCTTTGCAAACGCTGAAGCTGAGTTGCATCCTCTGGGTCCTAGTCAGGATCTGGGTCTGAGAACTGACCTTGAGTGCATGCCTGAGCACGCCCTGCCTCTGCTGGTACGTGGGGTTTTAGCCAGCGGAGAGCTGCCTATGTTACTCTCTTGCACTTTTTAGTGTTAAATCACATGAGGAAAAGCTGCTTGCAATCTGGCCAGGGTGGATTGTGTGTCAGAAAGATGGACTGCATCAGATCTGTAAGGGCTTGGGGCTTCTCCGTGTAGGAGGGAGTATGAGTTTTCCAGTTTAGTAGATCAGTAGTCGAAAAGGGCTGATGGATGAAGGTCCGTTTGCCCCCTGAACCTGGCCTCGGTTATTATAATAAATGGGTCCTCACATCTCCCTGACAGGCATTTGCATAGCTCAAGCACGGCCAGATCTGAGACGGCCTGCTTGACTCTTTTGACTTCCTTCCCTGGCCTTTTGAGGCTCCGATCCTTCCCTTCAGGGTGAGACTTGGGGCGTGCTAGCTCCTGAATTTGGTTCCTGGAGGGCTGTTGGCCTCAGTAAAGGTGGGTAGGCTGGGACATATATGGAGGAGGAATCTCTGTTTCCTCTGGCAGCTGTTGCAAAACTGGCTTCTGTTGCTCTTTCTGGGATTTTTCTTTTAACTTCCTGTCAGTCAGCGAAGCTGCTCTTACTTTTACTTTTGGCTCGGGCTACAAGTGTTTTGCAATAAGCTGCTAAACAGGGCTGGATCCAGGTTGGTCTTGTCTGTCCTATATGTAACCATGAATCAATATAAGGAAACTGATAAGGATACTCAGGCTGTCACCATCTTAAATACATGGCCAATTGTTTCCTAGGCTACAGTTCCTTCAGTCAGCCATCCAACACCAAAAGAGGGTCATTCTAATTCACAGAGAGTTCTCAACCTCTGGGGGATTCGCTTAACTTTATAATCCCCTGAAAAACCTTTCTTAAAGTTTTGTGACGTGCGCTTCAATGGAGTAAGTTTTGATGACTTTCCTTCTATTCCTTTCTTTACGGCGCAGTGTACTCACTCGCTCCTTCTCTCATTTCCGCTGACTATACCGTCTCCTATTATGGGAGTTTTTAGACACTACTTGACTTTGGAGAGTTCCTTATTCCTGCTACGACTCTGAGCTGTAGGACAGCTCCGGTTAGCCATATGCAGATCGCCACTAGGGCAGCTCCGGTTAGCCGTATGCAGATCGCCACTAGTCGTAGTCGGCCCCACACTTTGCTTGGAGCACCGAGTCCACACTAAGAGATTTGTGACTTCTCACTTTGTGACTGATGAGCCTAATTAGGCCTCTACATTTACACACTTTTACACACTTCCCCACTCCCAGTTCCTATGGTCCTAATTGGGGTGGCAAGCCACTCTCGCCACCTCCAGTTTCTTAGTTGGGGTGGCTCGCCACCTCCTGTTTCCTTTTCCTAATCGACTTAGCAAGCCATTCTCATGTCCTGTATTGATTGGGGTGTGATTTTCATCCAAATCGACAAGCCTCTCTTCGCCGCCCCCAGCCCCTCTGGATCGGACTACTAGACACACCCCAGGAAGTGATCAGGCTCCCCTTCCACCCCTACGGGATGGGTCTCCTGCCTTGGGCCCCAAATTACTGCGGTTCCTGAAGTGCACTGTTTCCGAAATCGTTCTGTAGCTCCTTTCAGGTTTTGTTGTGCTGCTAGGTAGGGGCACCAGGTCAGTGGAGAGCTGATTTCTTCTCCAGGCTAACGTTCTCCTGGTGGCACCTGGGGTCACAGGTCTCCCGAGGCCCAGGGCTCCAGCCCCTAGAGGCAAAGGAGGCAGTAAACCTGCCGTCTCTGGTCCCTTCGTGGTCGCCAAAAATGCTGCGGGAAACTGAGGACTGGAGAGACCGATAGGGAGAACAGGAGGATTGTTTATCTTAGGTGCACACCAGCTCAGTAGATTCGCATCTAAAAAGCTGAGCATTAAACAAACACAGAGCAGGGTTTTTTTTTTTTTTTTTTTTTGAGACGGAGTCTCACTCTGTCGCCCGGGCTGGAGTGCAGTGGCGCGATCTCGGCTCACTGCAAGCTCCGCCTCCCGGGTTCACGCCATTCTCCTGCCTCAGCCTCCCGAGTAGCTGGGACCACAGGCGCCCGCCACCTCGCCCGGCTAGTTTTTTGTATTTTTTAGTAGAGACGGGGTTTCACCGTGTTCACCAGGACGGTCTCGATCTCCTGACCTCGTGATCCACCCGCCTCGGCCTCCCAAAGTGCTGGGATTACAGGCTTGAGCCACCTCGCCCGGCACAGAGCAGGGTTTTTATGAGCGGACTTACGAAAGTAAAACAGAGGCGGTTAATTATATGATAGGTCACATGATTTATAGTATAGCATAACTTGTGGCTTTGCATAGCTGGTGCCTTGTAGCTGTGTCAAAAAAAAAAAAAAAAAAGAACTGGCTAAATACAGACATTTGTAAAACATAGTTATGCTTAAGAAGCCAGGGAAAGGAGTAGCAGAAAGGAATTTGTTTTTCTTTTTTTCCTTCAACCTTGCTCTGGAAGGGGGTGTGTCTGGAGCCTATTCCTTTGGCCTTGGCTTTTTAAACAGTATTATCTCATAACTGTCCTTGAAGTGAGCTTGCTAAGCAGAGGAAAACTTGTTCCTTTTTTTTTTTTTTTAACCCTTGCCTTGCCTGTTACTTTTCTTGGAGTGAATGAATGCATATTTATTTTTAAATTTCTGCCTCAGTGGGGGATGAAGAATCTGAGAGCTCTAGGTCTGTGGGAGGAAGGGGCAGGAGGGTCTCAGGGCTAGGAGAACACCACCCCAAACCCTGCTCCCATGCAGGGAAGCTGCAGCGTGGGGGAGGAGTTGGCCTGGGGGCTGCCCTGGGAGCTGGTGTCACTGCCCTGCTCGCTCTCTGTTCCTGCCTCGTCATCTTCGGGTAAGTGTCATCCCTGGGAGGGCAGGCAATGCAGAGTGTGGGAAGGGAGAGGTTTCTAGAATCCCAGACAGTCCCAGCCGCAGGAATCTAGATGGGGCAGTGGGTGTAAGAACTGGGCCTTGGGCAAGAGAATCAGAGCAGGGGTCTGCTCCAGAGCCCTGATCCAGGCCATCTATGAGGGTCCCCAGTTCTCACTGTAGGAGTCACCCCATGGATATGTCCCCACCCCACTGGCCTCCACGGCCTTCCAGCCTCTGCTAAGCCATGTAGGAAGCAGTCGCCCCACGCTCTGGGCCAGCCTGAAGACTGAAGGGCAGTGCTTCTTCCCTCAGGGTGAAGACCTGCAGGAAGGAAGCTTGCAAGAGGGCAGCAGCGAAGCAGGACGTGCCCTCCACCCTGGGGCCCATCTCCCAGGTGAGAGCCTAGCCTCTGTCTGCTGGGGCCCCAGCTGTTCCCCTTTCCTGGATGGCCATGGGCACTCCTCTTGGTGCCTTGCAGAATCATTGTGCCCCAAATAAGATTTTGCTCCTGGGTCCCCATCAATGCAGTCCCAAGTCCCATGATCTGGGGGGCACCCTCCCCCTTGCTCCCCATGTCCCCTCCCAGAGCCAAGGCCTCCCCCGGCCTGTCCATACTCTGCCTGTGCTCGAGTAGATCTTTGTGTTTGAGTAGATCTTCCGAGGTCCCTGAGGTCAGTCCAGGTCCAAGCAAATCCCTGTCTTTCTCACACCTCCTCCTTCCTGGGCATCCACTCATAATTTGCAATTAGATAGTAACTTGATTGACTAGAGCTTTAATGTCTGCCTCTCCTTCCACACTGCAAGCTGCCTGAGGTCAGGGATGGTGTCTCCCTAGTTCCCCCAGGAATATACAGGGGCTGGCACAGGGGAGCTGTTCCATAAAGGCAGCGGGTGCTGGAGTCAGAGAGACCTGGACGTGAATCCTGGCCTGACCACTGCTTAGATGTGTGGGTTTGGGGAATTTACTCAGCCTCCATTTCTCCATCTGATCATGGGGACCATAGTGCCTCCCCAGTAGATTGGGGTGAGGATTTTATGAGTCTGGATTGTGGTGAGGATTTTATGAGTCTAGCAGTGAATTACCAAGAGCCAGATGTTATTGTTCTCAAATATTTGCTGAATGAGTGAATGGATGAGGGCCCAGCCAGCGTCTGTGGAATGAGTAGGTGAAACAGGAAATGCTCAGCTTCCAGGTCCTCTTGTGCATCCTCCTTGCTCTCGCTTAGCCCCCATGATCCTAATTTGACTCCCTTTCTCCCCTGCATTCAGGGTCAGCAGCATGAATGCTCGGCAGGCAGCTCCCAAGACCACCTGCCCCCAGGTGCAGCCACCCCCACCCCAGGGCAGGGGGAAGAGCAGGAGGTCTACTACGCCTCCCTCAGCTTCCAAGGGCTGAGGCTTCGGGAGCCTGAGGACCAGGAGGCCCCCAGCAGCACTGAGTACTCAGAGATCAAGATCCACGAGGGACGGCCCCCAAGGGGCCTGGGCTTTGGGCTTCAGTTGGAGAAGGAGACGTCAGGGATGGTTCCAAAGTGAAGAGTTCTCCATGGAAACAGGACACCAGCAAGTGCGTGGGAGTCGTGCTGGTGTGACGGCCAGAACTGGACTCAGATTTCAGCCCCATCCCCAATGAAGAGCTTGAGTTCGAAGATTAGACTCTTTTTTTGAGACAGGGTCTCACTCTGTCCCCCAGGCTGGAGTGCAGTGGTGCAATCTCAGCTCACTGTAGTCTCAACCTGCCAGATTGAAGTGATCCTCCTATTTCAGCCTCCCGAGTACCTGGGACTGCAATTGTGAGCCATCACGCCAGGCTCATTTTTGTATTTTTAGTAGAGACAGGGTTTCGCTGTGTTTCCCAGGTTGGTCTTGAACTCCTGGGCTCAAGCAATCTGCCTGCCTCTGCCTACCAAAGTGCTGGGATTACAGACGTGAGCCACCGTACCTGGCTGAAGATTATACTTTCAATTCACAGCGAGTTTGAAGATGACACTTTGAGGCATCGTGTCTATGGTTCATTACTACAGAAGCTTCTCTGAATGTGTAAAGCACAGGAAACCAGGCAGAGGAGGCACAGGGCGCTCTCCAGAATGAGAAGCCAGCTCCTGGGGTTGCTTTGCTGCAACCGTCATTCCCCATTGATAACCATTCTCCTCCTTCAGAAGAGGGAGAGTGAGAGAACCAAGTCCGAGTGGTTCCCATTTTAACATTAAAAAAAAAAAAAAAAAAAAAAAGGCTGTGCGTGGTGGTTCACACCTGTAATCTCAGCACTTTGGGAGGCTGAGGTGGGTGGATCACAAGGTCAGGAGTTCAAGACCAGCCTGGGCAAGATGGTGAAACCCCATCTCTACTAAAAACACAAAAATTAGCCGGGCATGGTGGCGGGCGCCTGTAATCCCAGTTATTGGGGAGACTAGGCAGATAATTGGTTGAACCCGGGAGGCAGAGGTTGCAGTGAGCTGAGATCGTCCCACTGCGCTCCAGCCTGGGTGACAGAGTGAGACTCTGTGTCTAAATAAATAAATAAATAAATAGAGCCTGAGTTTGGGCAAGTCATCTTACTCCTCAGTAAAACAGACACAATAAACCTAAATCACAGGGCTATTGTGGGACAGAAAGGAAGTCATTAAAACAAGGCACCCAGGCCAGGCACGGTCGCTCACATCTGTAATCCCAGCACTTTGGGAGGCTGAGGCGGGCAGACCACATGAGGTCAGGAGTTCAAGACCAGCCTGGCCAACCTGGTGAAACCCCATCTCTACCAAAAACACAAAAATTAGCCAGATGTGGTGGGGCACACCTGCAGACCCAGTGACTCAGGAGGCTGAGGCACGAGAATCATTTGAACTCAGGAGGCAGAGGTTGCAGTGAGCCGAGATTGCACCACTGCACTCCAGCTTGGGCAACAGAGTGAGGCTCTGTCTCAAAAATAAATAAATAAGGCCAGGCATGGTAGCTCACGCCTGTAATCCCAGCACTTTGGGAGGCCAAGGCAGGCCTCATGCCTGTAATCATGCTGTGTCTACTAAAAATTCAAAAATTAGCAGGGCATGGTGGTGGATGTCTCTAATCCCAGCTACTAGGGAGACTGAGGCAGGAGAATTACTTAAACCTGGGCGGCAGAGGTAGCAGTGAGCTGAGATCACGCCATTGCACTCCAGCCTGAATGCCAAAAGCAAAACTCGGTCTCAAAACAAAAAAGAAAGAAAATAAAAGAAACAAGAACTCACTATGTTGCCCAGTCTGGTCTCAAAGTCCTGGCCTCAAGCAATCCTCCCACCTCAGCCTCCAAAAGTGCTAAGATTACAGGTGTGAGCCACCATGTTGGGCTGACCTGATCTTGTAACTCCAAGTTTCTACCCTTTTACTGACATCTGTCCATTTTTCTCTCCTCCTAACCCCCAGCAACCACGGTTCTAATTCTACTTTGTTTCCATGAGTTTTGTGGCAGGAGAATAGGGGATTAGGGGAACGGGAGCTCAACAGGTGCAGCCAGTTCCTACAGACAGGAGAGCGTAGGTGTGGTGCACAGGGCACATTCTCGCTCCCATGATAACAAGCCACATAGCCTCTGATTGACTGCGGGCCGGGTCTCCGCTATGGCCCCTGATTGGTCGTGAACCAATCCTTCATAGCATGTAACCAATTGGAGGTCTCTGAAGGGCGCCTAGGGGTGTTGCCGGGTTCCTTCTAGCTTATTACAAACCCTAATTGGGGAGCCTCTTGAGCTGCTGGCTGGATCCCGCTCCCACTCTGAACTGTCTTCAATAAATCTGTGCTTTTCTATTCACAATAGCAAAGACATGGAATCAACCCAAATGCCCATCAATGATAGACTGGATAAAGAAAATGTGGTGCATATACACCATGGAATACTATGCAACCATAAAAAAGGATGAGATCATGTCCTTTGCAGGGACATGGATGGAGCTGGAAGCCATTATCCTCAGCAAACTAACACAGGAACAGAAAACCAACACCGAACATTCTCACTTCTAAGAAGGAGCTGAACAATGAAAACACATAGACACAGGGAGGAGAGCAACACACACTAGGGCCTGTCAAGGGGCCGGGGAAGGGACGGCATCAGGAAACACAGCTAATGCATACTGGGCTTAATACCTAGGTGATGGGCTGATAGGTGCAGCAAACCACCGTGGCACACGTTTACCTGTGTAACAAAGCTGCACGTCCTGCACATGTACCCCAGAACTGTAGGGAAAAAAGAGATCAGACTGTTACTGTGTCTATGTCTTCCCTTTCTACATAGAAACAGTATCTGTCTTCCCTTTCTACATACACACAGTAACAGTCTGATCTCTTTTTTCCCTACAGAAAGGAGGAAACTCCATTTTGACCTGTACGCTGAACAATTGCTTTGCCCTGAGACGCTGTAATCTGTAACTTTGCCCCAACCTTGAGCTTACAGAAACATGTGTTGTGTGGAATCAAAGTTTAAGAGATCTAGGGCTGTGCAGGATGTGCCTTGTTAACAAAATGTTTACAGACAGTATGCTTGGTAAAAGTCATCGCCATTCTCTGCTCTCGATAAACCAGGGGCACAATGCACTGCAGAGAGCCGCAGGGACCTCTGCCCTGGAAAGCCGGGTATTGTCCAAGGTTTCTCCCCATGTGATAGTCTGAGATATGTCCTCATGGGATGGGAAAGACCTGACCGTCCCCCAGCCTGACACCCGTGAAAGGTCTGTGCTGAGGAGGATTAGTAAAAGAGGAAGGCCTCTTGCGGTCGAGATAGAGGAAGGCCACTGTCTCCTGCCTGCCCCTGGGAACTGAAATGTCTCGGTATAAAACCCGATTGTACATTTGTTCAGTTCTGAGATAGGAGAAAAGCCGCCCTGTGGCGGGACGCGAGACGTGTTGGCAGCAATGCTGCCTTGTTATTCTTGACTCCACTGTGATGTTTGGGCAGAGAGAAACATAGATCTGGCCTACGTGCACATCCAGGCATAGTACTTCCCCTTGAACTTAATTGTGACACAGATTCCTTTGCTCACATGTTTTCTTGCTGACCTTCTCCCTGTTATCACCCTGCTCTCCTACCGCATCCCTTTTGCTGAGATAGTGAAAATAGTAATCAATAAATACTGAGGGAACTCTGAGACCGGTGCCGGTGCAGGTCCTCTGTATGCTAAGCTCTGGTTCCCTGGGCACACTTTTCTTTCTCTATACTTTGTCTCTGTGTCTTATTTCTTTTCTCAGTCTCTCGTCCCACCTGACGAGAAACACCCACAGGTGTGGAGGGGCTGGCCACCCCTTCACCCCAGAACTTAAAAAAATCTGTGCTTTCCTTTGGGAGGCAGAGGCGGGCAGATCACTTGAGGTCAGGAGTTCGAGACCATCCTGGCTAACACGGTGAAACCCCGTCTCTACTAAAAACACAAAAATTAGCCGGGCGTGGTGGCGGGCACCAGTAGTCCCAGCTACTCGGGAGGCTGAGGCAGGAGAATGGCGTGAACCCGGGAGGCGGAGCTTGCAGTGAGCCTAGATCCTGTCACTGCACTCCAGCCTGGCCGACAGAGCGAGACTCCGTCTCAAAAAAAAAAAAAAAAAAAAAAAAAAAAAAAACAACTGTGCTTTTGTTACTCCATTCTTCTGTTGCTTTGTCCCTCCTTTCATTTTCTTTTGTTACTTGATTTGTGCATTTTGTTCAATTCTTTGTTCAACACGCCAAGAACCTGGACAACTCTCCAGTGACATTTTGACTTCTGTGGATTCCACATGTCTGTGAGATCGCACGGTATTTGTCTACCTCTGATTTCGGGTTAATTTCTGTTGTTGCAAATGGCAGGATTTCTTTTTCGTAAGGATGAGTAGTATTCAACTGTATTATGCATGTTTTGTGTGTCTGCGTATGTACAGGTGACCCTTGAACCGCACAAGTTTACACTGGGGTATACACAGATTTTCTTCCTCTTCCGCCACCCCTGATACAGCAAAATGAATCTCTCCTCTTCCTCTTCGTCCTCAGCCTACTCAACGGGAAAACAATGAGGATAAAGGGTTTTTTTTTTTTTTTTTTTGAGACAGAATCTCGCTCTGTCGCCCAGGCTGGAGTGCAGTGGCGGGATCTCGGCTCACTGCAAGCTCCACCTCCCAGGTTCACGCCATTCTCCTGCCTCAGCCTCCCGAGTAGCTGGGACTACAGGTGCCCGCCAGCACGCCCGGCTAATTTTTTTGTATTTTTAGTACAGACGGGGTTTCACCATGTTAGCCAGGATGGTCTCAATCTCCTGACCT